TCCATGAAGCAAAACGCAGATAAACACGACCGACCTCGCACATTACGAGATGGCGAGGAGGTTTACGTCAAACTTCAGCCTTCAGATAACGAATGGGTGCGTGGATGTGTGAAGTCGACAAACCGTAACCGTATTGACATTCTGTTAGACGAGGAGAGGACAATACGCCGTCATTTAGACCATATCAGAATTAGGAGGCATGGACCGGATGCGGAACAAACACTGGAGACGCATGTGCAGGTGGACTCCAGACTGAAGCAAGAGAGTTTGAAAACTCCCACAGATGCGTCAAGGTGTCTACGCCAGTCGGCTAGAGAGTCAAGGTCGGTCGAAAGTTATCAAGCTGGAGTTGGTTAAATCCAGCGGTGGAGGATTGTAGTAGCTGCTTCGGTGTGTCAGAGAGTTTGCGCGTGTGCGTGTCCGTTCGTCGTTCCACCATCGATCTGACATGTGACTTGAGTGGCTGATTGGATGTGTGTCCGATTGGTTGACTCGCGTGAGCGCTGTGGGTTGACTGGATATGTGACTCAGTTGTTTTGCTTACCTGCCACGAAAGCGGACCAGTTTGGCCGCGTGTGTCCATACTTACGTGTTCTTCTGATTAACTGTGAACCACAATACACTTGGATCATTGACATCCCGCTCCAACGTCTTATTTACAGCAGTTGATGAAAAAATTGTGGCCAGAAGCCCAAATGCTCAAGCGCTTACCTGCCCGCGCAACCATTCTGCAGGCGATGACTCGTATTCAGCCTTTGATGTAACACAACCGAGTAGCTACTGTGCCAGTTTTGTCACTGTGGTTTACTTGCGTACGACCCAAGATAACCGGCCCGGAGTCGCCCATTCGCCTGTCGGCAATAAAGTCAATGGCGTTCTTGAGTGCCGCATCGGGGACCTGAACAACCTTCATCGCAGCCATAGGACCCGAGATAGAGTGCCCTGGGTACTTGTTCGGTGAGGAATGTTATATATTTCGCCCTATCCCTGGTTAGCACCGGCGCGAAAATTTCTGCAGCATATCTGCACCCGGCTGTGGACATTTCCGCACAGCGTCCGCAGGTTTCTGCACACTAGGGCGGAACCAGTGCGGAAATGAATCAGGTTTCCTTGCCTTGTCCGCATCCGGATGCGGAAGCGGTGCGATAAAACAAAACCACCTGAATCGGTCAGCGGTTTGTATTCCGAAAATGCAGGATATTGCGGTTTTTTGTTACCGCGAGACAAGTAAAGAAGCTTTGATGCCTCTTAAATGTCTCGATCTCCAGCGGCTTAGTAGCCGAATATTAGTGCAGAAGTTTTGCACAGATTCCTCACGAGCCCTGCACCCAATAGTTGACGCGTGCCTAACGGGTTCAATTCGTTATCTGTGTTTGTGTCTTATAGTACCAGCTTTTCGTCTACTGTACCGACGAAAATGAAACACTTCCACGAGTCTCTCCAACTTAGAATCCGTTGTTGGCAGTTGCCCCGCTAGATGTGGAATGCATAACACCCCTAATGTAGAGGCTGCTGGCGAAGGCAACCGAGGCAGGTGAGCTGGATAACCTGCTTATATGACAGTATGACAGGTATAACATTCCGCGTATTACATTCGATAGACGTCTATTTCGTCCACATCCGTCGTGGTCCACTGATAGCTGTAGTGGGGCCGCGCCCTCAATGCACAATCCATTTTTCTGTAAAACCACTGCGGGTGGAATGAAAACTTTAACGTAAAAATGTTGCACTTGTTTGCATATATGCTCGGTCCAAAAATCTCGCTCATCTGCCGTCATTTTTACCATTTCTTTTAACCGATTTCTTTAGCGAATTATTGGCGCATATTCGGCTTTGAACTTCGTGTGCTATGGCTCCGGAAGTGGCTTTCGTTGAGAAATTTGTTGGATTGGCCTTGTTCCGGTTGTCACTTGTCCCACGACACCAAGAAATACAAGCGGACGACAGCTGTCCTCCCGCTTGTTCTAAAAAAAGAATATATAAAAAACATTCATGCATGCGGTGGCCTGAGTGTGCCTGTGAGGCTTAC